AATTCGCCACCAAGCTTACCGTCACCAAACAAATCCAAAACCAGCGTTCAGTTTCACGAGACGGACTGAAATCTGCATGTTGTGCGCGGTTGTCAGCAATTTCAACTAGCTTGGGTGTGTAGTGCCTTATGATGTCACGATATGTTACACCAAATTTCCTTCATCTAGAAGCTGTCAAGAAGTTGGCTAGCTAAAATGTGTTTTCCTTACTGTTGTACACAGAGTTATCCGTTCCGATTAAAGGTAACTACTTTCTCATTCGAAGTTCCATCTTATCGTGACTCTTAAGTATCACAATTCCAGTCTTAATCAGTTTAGAATGGGTATGAACGCTCGCTTCTTCAAATTATTCTGATTTATTTGTAATACGTTTATATATCTACTCTGTTCTACCGATAGATCCCTACTGTATATTCACATTGGTTGATTCAGTGACTTTCACTATTGGCGAGACAAGTTATGGCGATGATTACTCGAAATGGACAAACACCACTGTTCCCAAGGAAAATCACATCGACAGAATACATGCACCGCAGAGAAGCACCACAAATTAATTGAAAATAATTGGAAGAAACTTCTCAGTTTTTGCGACTTGCCGAACATCGATAATATGCAGGGGAGTTGTAGATAAACACCTCCAGGCTCGGCAGTAATTTCAAGATTCTAGGATACCAGTGCACTCATGGCCGTTCACCCTTGACTCTAATTGGCCCCAGTAAAAACAAGGATGTTTTCATCAGGAGGCATGGTACGAAGGTTCTGATTAAAACACTGGTATACGTTTTCCTTTGTTTATTGATCAAAGGTATATTACTCCCATCATTCAAGAATGATGATAAGTTGAGCATTCATTATCCAGATATTATGATTTTATAATCGATTCTGGAGTCCAAGTTCGTCCTTGGGAATATGTGCGGCAGCGAGCCTCTGGCATTACATTGTGAGCGCCGAAACAGGTATGTCCAAATACAATGATTAATCTACAACGTAACTGACAATCCTTTTCGAATTCTCGGTTAAAAAGGTTTATTCGTTAATCCTCCCTTTGATACGGATCATATATTCCTTGTATACTTGGTGTCTGTCTATTCTGGGACTGATGACCACCAGAGGGGCTTCAATGTACTGCTTCCTAGCTGACAAGTGAAAAGTTGTTCATACCACTGAGAAAGTTCAAACGCTGGCGGTTGTTGCGCTTAAGTGGATACCGACTGAACTCAAAACACTATTGGAAGTCGATGGCAATCGAGCACCTCTGAAACAGCGTGTTCTATCATACATAGAAAGAAAACAGATTATTGGAGGTATTATGGCAAACAGAACCGAACGGTGATATCCCCGACAATATGCATTATCGCACTTTGACACTCAATCCTGGATTAGCAAATCTTGCAGTTACTCTGAACCCCAAACACGGTTGACATTTGTTTCCGAGAATTGTTCTGCTCCACGTGAACATCAAAAAATCCATTATATCCTGGTTCAAGAACATCGACTTCAATATATATATTTAAGAAGGCGTACCAGCGCAATTAACACATCATTTATAATCCATATCATTTCGTAGAAAAACTGTAAAGGTTTACCCTTGGTTGCGCCGCATCACGGGTCACATCATGGTTATCTCAAGAGGGATGCAGGAAGTCCGAACTGATGTTAAAGAAGTTTATTTTAAAAGAGATCAAGTTTATATAGATGTGGGTAAGATAATGTCCGAATGAGTATGCGTTGATTGAATGAGATAGAAGTGGCAAGACATAATTAGGAGTACCATAAAAACAAAAGGGTGTTCATCAGTAGTTCAGAATAAGGAACTGCGAAACAAAGCAAATCATAGAGGTAGGAAACCTAATGGGTGGATTAGCGCGATTCTGCTTAGTATCCAATGGTTATCGAAAATGTAAGGTTTGAATTAGCGTTCTGTGCCTGACCTCGAACAGGTTAGCTCAGTAGCGTTGCAAGTAGTTTTACGAAGGTATTTTTGGTTGCAGTATTATTATTGTCGTTGCAAGATGGGTAGGTTATGAAATCGTTTGTGGGTAACAGGAATACGATTGGCAAACCAGCTTTGCGCAAGCTGTGTCCGGTATCGACCAGACACTCCGCCATTGAACTGAAAATCATCCTCAAGATTCGCTGGTAAGCCAACCTCGTTTTCCTTTAGGGTTTCTTTGAGAAATTCATCTGATCGTCCAAACTATGTAGCTCCCCGAACTATTCTTCTTACTTCATTCATATACATGTACCCAGTAGGTGTAGGCTAGTCTAATTTGCAACATCGGATTATATTTTAAGGCAGCTCAATGGGTACTACTCCCGTTTTAATCATCGTTTTGTACGCCAGTTAGATGGATCTAACGGCAAAACACGTGACTTCGAAGTTTCTGTATGCCATTTCACAATGATTTATATAAAATTGACTCCGCAAAGCTTTCTGTAGACTCATAAATATATGCGCTGCAAGAGAACGATTAGGTCTTTTGTACATCTATTCCTCACCTCCGAGTATGTGTTCTTATGTCACATTCGGTTCACTCTAGAACAGCGAAATCAGTTTATGGAGTCACTGAGACGATCCTGCAGGTGGGGTATTCGCAGATACCTGATTGCCAACTAACCATCAACGGAATGTAGAATTTACTTGAAAACACTGTTTTCCGGTCATACATTCAAGCAGAGAGCTCAGAAACATGGTTCCACACAATGTGTGCATGGTCAATTTACTACAGTAATAGTGAATTTTATAGTCGGTGAGATAATAGCTGTGAGACGAAGACATTGTATCAAATACAATTGATTCAACCACCAGCTCCTGGTCAATTGTCAGGAGCCTGTATCCAGTGGCGATTTGACGATCTTGGTACACGATACTCGAATTGTCTACAGATTTAAAATAGCAATCGGAAGGATATTGGTGATCATATTTCTGATGACAACACACTATAAGCTGGACGCAGAAGTCACTGTTCAGTTATTGAAGTAAATCCAGGGATGCAGGTATGACGCTCAATGAAAGACCCTGAATGCCTAATCTAAATTGAACATTTTTTGTGTTATTTCGGCCACACACTTACTTCGGCCCTTGTTGAAATTCATCGAATTGTATTAGTTCAAATAGGGGATTCTTTGTTGGGTTATTGAAAAGGGGTTTTTGTATCTCTGAATGGCCTAACTGGCGGGTACTCGGTCTCCAAAATAGAACCTTGATCGGCCAGACTACGAGGCATTCCATTTCGTTTTACAGCACTGACGGGGTACAGTCAAATATCAGTTGGAAATCAATAAGAGAATAATCGTTCATTGGTTGAATAGGTGTCAGTTCGCTTTATCTACCGAATGATGTGATCTATTAGAGGTCCTCCTTAATATGCTGAAGCACTTGAAACAAACTGAATTTGTGGAGAGAATGAACTACTTTTCGACTCATATTGCAATTAGCCATGAATCAAGAACTTCATTTTTTGGTGACAACGCATTGGTCCAATAAGAATTTCTTTCAAGTCAATGAAAAAAAAATATTCGGAGAAATATGTGAGCTAACGTTACACAATCGAAAGGATTCCATTGTTTGAGGACGAATCCAAATAAATCATGTGTGCGTGTCGCATTAATGAATGAAATCGTGTCTGGATGTGAAAGCGCATGAGTTCAACTAGCTAAGAATATCTTCACTGATGATGGGATTAATTATATGGCTTGGGGAGATTCGATATGGTGTCTGTGTTGTGTGCGTATGAGAGGCTGGTTAGAAAAAGGTGTCCAGCTAGTGAACTGCTAAATAAGCCGCGTACAACGGATTGGCTTAACAAGAATAAATTTTGATGGACAGACACAGTTTTAAATCGTTATCTATAGAAAGAAACAAGGAATACTTTTATTTCTTTTTGTTTGTTGATCATTGATATATGCAATTACCATTCAGCAAGGAAGGAGCGGCTGAACAACGACTGCCTGAGAAAACGTTAATAATGAGAACATGGACGTCGATGGAGGGGCTCCAACGCAAGACAATCAGGTGATTATTTTGGTGACCTCATCACTCGACCAATACTGATCCGAAAGTTGCTTTTAGAGTAATAAATATTATAAATTGTACAAACTATTTATAACTGGGTTATTGTAGTAGTGGCTGAGTGCCACTCGAAATTCCTAAACAAAGGTTGTTGTTTTTGCTTCCTATCTTTCGGGCCAATCCAACTACTCCTACACTGATCGAGTAATACGAGCGCGATCCGGGATTTATTTGGTGACACTCATTCCAAATAAGGATCTGATATTGTAAAAGAGCAACCAGCTTTTAGGCTACAATTACCCTCAACTCGTCGTCTATTTGGGACACAAGATGTATACCGCGTTTTATATGTTTTCCAATTTCATTAAACCTATTCATTAGAGTTCTTCATCATACGTAACGCTTGTACTGCAATATTATCCAAAGTGCGACAGGTGTATTCTTTAGAAATCAGATATTCATATGAAAACACAACCTCTGATGTCATTCACCTCATGAGAGTAAAGCCATTGGCATTTAAAGTGTGACACACGGACTCGTAAAATGTATTTGTGTACTCCTTGTACGAGCTTATGCAAACGATGTTTTTAGATTGTGTTTTCCTATTCTAGTCGAGCATCGTGAACTATTTCCAAGTTCTGGTTCACGAAGAATACCTCCATGACGGATTAACGTTGGGTGCTCTTTTGTATGTCACTAACACATGGATAAGGTCTGGAGGTTTCCTCAACTGGGAAGTGTAAAAACACGTTCACATAAAACTAAGAAACAATTACTATAAATAGTTTTCAATGTTCAGCGAGGATATTGACTGCTTCTCTGATTCAGAACGCAATAGAAAACGAGTATAGCAAAGCGGGACAGCAGGAATGGGATAGGCAGTCTGATGACCGACGAAATCCGAGACAAATTCATGCTAAAGAAAACAATAAGCGACTACGTATTCACAAAGTAATCGCTCACCGGGGAGAAAACAAATGATAAATGCTTTAAACAATATTGTGCTGAGTGGTATGACATATTCTCACTGTTTAATACACATTTGGTGATGGAAAAATGTAGTGTGCTAATGTGGTATTAGGCCTTGTCCGAGATGCTATGCACTGCGTGAATGAACATGAGGACTTGGGAAAACATACTTTCATTCTCTCCATCAATGTCACTCAGAAGAATAGGTGTGTGGGAGAAGATATCTGACGAAAGTCGAGGTGTAGCATGAGTTCGTTTGGTGTTGAGTTGATTTGATTCTCATTGTGGTTTCCCGGACTAAAGGTGTTGAAAGTAACGATACGGATTTTGCGCATTACAATACATTATTATATTATTTCAGCAAACGAAGCTCCGGTAAATCCATGCTAACATAATCGTACAATTGTAGTATCTGGAGATGTTGGATATGGTACGCGATATGATGCAGGGGCCCATATCTTATTTCTGGTGCACATATCTAACAAAGATAATTAGGTTCGGCGCAATTAAAGTTTTTTGAGAAGCTGTTTTCCCTAAACCAAACATTTGTGCAAACAGGTGCGGTGTTTTAATTCCACAAGGCGGAGGGCAGTTGATGGTTTCTGTTGATTTGGGGATTACAGATGATACATCGCTAATTTAACATGCGTAAAACAAACGTCTCATCAGAAACATACCTTCGTAGTTTCTGGCAAGCTGAACAGGTAATGGGTGTAGCAATCGAGAGTTATTCTTTGAGATCCAGCAGTTTACTCTCGGTGATCTTGTTGATTCTTGATCATTGAAATGAATCACCAATTGTATTGCCTGGTACTCACAAAGGTCGGTAGTACCTCACAACAAAAATAATTGGATTCATGCTACCTTTGAACCGTCACAAAACGTTACTTTTCGCTCACAAGATACTCTTATATATGCAACAGTATATGGGTATATCAACAGCACCGTTGCAAACGTGATTAAGTTTGCCAATTTTAATTGTAAGATGTTTACAGTATACAGAAACTGAGATTTTTATTCTTTCCGTGTGAGTTGTGTGGTCATGAGCATGATCCCTTTTGGAAAAAAAACGTTAAATATACTGTAAAATATAACAATAATCTAATCAAAAACGAGCCCAAACTGGGTTCAATCCAGCGTGCGGCTTTTCCAGAATAGAGACAAAGTAATTAACAACTGGTATACATGAAACAGAATTGAACAACACGAGCACCAGAATTGCACGAACAATTCAGTGAAGTAATTTCGCTGGCCATAGGGACAATGTCCACGCACTTGAAGACCAACACTGGAAGACTCCTAATCAAGATGGCAGCTATTCTATTAGTAAATAAAGGTTTCATAATTTGAATTGTTAACCGAAAATACTTTATTAGATGCAAACACAATTTTTCAAAGACATTCAGATGCTAAATGTGTACTTAATTGAAATCTTACAATAAATTCACTTCTTTCAAANTTTCAACATTATCACATGTACATTTGCTGACGAAACTCATGCAATATCAGCTTCATTGTGGAAATCCATTTCAGCTTGCAATATCATACTTATATATAGAGGACTATGGGTTAAGTGCATCTATTACTGACTTCATCTCCAATATCTATCTTCTTGGTTCTTTTCTGTTACTGTTTGAATTTGCGTGACCTTGGATGTCGCGATAAAATGTGTAGTAGATCCAAAGTTACAGATCTCATTTTCAAAATATTTTAGGAAAAGCAAAGATGGTTCCTGTCTCATGAGATTGTCTATTCATTTCAGCACACGGTTTGTGGTTTTCTTATATCTTTTCCTTCAGTGCACAGTAAATAAGCAAATTGATGAAAATATTCCAGCTTCGGTAAATTGGCTACAAACAACTTATGCATTATCTACAATACTGGAAGAATTGAAAAAATAGTCCAAGAAACACACACGTTGATCTTCGAAGGTAAACCTTGAGGTGTGCGGCTCGTTGAATAAGCGTCCTGGAGTATCACCATGCTCGAACCTGATGAAACATCCAAAAGGTTTTGAAATAAAATCGAAGCATGAACGAGAGGCACATAAATCTGATGATTCAGTTGGCGTCTTGTGGAAGTGCTTCGATTTGAGCAAAAGTCCAATTTGTAACATATTCAACGAAATTTCTCCATCAACACATAAATCGAGATGGCGACAACCAGCCATATCAAAGTAAGATGATGGTTGTATTTGATCGCAGCAGAGAAGAGTTGCACAGAACTGATATGGAGGATAGTCCCGATTGATTAGCTGTTTTCCCTCATGCTTTGGAAAATGGTGGCCCAATATAAAATGCATCCGAGAACACGTGATATGAAGCCGGTATTGAGCGCCCAACAAAGCAGAGCATGTATTGATTTTACCGACAAATTCAAATTGCGTCGCCCGCTCATTTAGCAATGGGTTTATCTCGCAGATGGCCAACGAGTAATTCAGTATATTGTGAAAGCTTATCTACTGAGCTATTTTTCTAATGAATATCTTTTACCTATCAAAATAAGTAAATATCTATCTCGCCTAACGAGTTGGAAGGGATATGATTATTGAGCGCATTGTTGTTAGTCTCCTGCATACGCCAATATGGGCATAGCAAAATGTCTTGCACTGCTAAGAGAGGTTTTTGATAACTGTCACCCCAAACATGCATTCGCGGAATTCATACTTTTTACACATGAAGTTTGGCATATCAGCTTGCTTGGAATTGGTGACACAAAACGGTTAGACCTGAATAAATATCATTTTTTCACGTTTTTGCAGTTTCTAGAGGGATCAAGTTCAACGACACATTCGTTCTATTAGCGCGCAACCGCAGGGATTTTTTTCTAATGGAAAACATTTCCTTGTATCTGAAACAAGGATATGCTAACTACTTTACCATTGGTTGCCAGTGGTAAAGGTGTGCGGTGTACTAGAAGAAACTTGTAAATTCTCTTTGGTGGATTCCATGCTAAAGCGACTGCCCTGAGTGCTCAAACATGAGGGACAGCAAATAGAACATGAACGAGATGGAAGCAGAATAACTGTATAAAGTCCAAGAATAATTTTATTTATTAAAACAAAGTTATCTATCATAACTTTGTTATCTTACAACTGATGCTCCAGTAACCATCATCAAAATCGCGAAATTGTACATTTTTATGGCATATGGCTAACTGAAGCAGTGGCATAGGTGGGTATTATAACGCATATTTTGCGTCTCATGTGGGACAATATCAGATCGTGAATGATGCTGAAAAAACAAAAAATTGAGACAAACAAACGTGATGAAAATCAAGATAGTGCACGAGTTTGGTCAACACCTGTGGTACAAGGATGCAGCATGTTCGCATTAATGGCGGTTGGTGTA